ATGTGGCAGGTTGCCCCGATTGGGCAATCGGACAGCTTCCTGTTTTAGAGGTTCCCGCCACTCATATGCTTTAGGGCCCTATGCAGGGGGATCCATCTATAAGAATGAGTTTGCTAAGTGTGGTCACTTCGCATGTGCTTCCTGTTTTCGCAAACGTCAGCGGCTCTCTGCAGTCAGTCAATGTTTTGGCACCCGCAGTTCAGCAGGTTCCAAACATAGAATGTTTAAGGCCCCTGGCAGATTATTGGGCCGCATTGGCAACGCCTGCCCGAGATCTCGCAGTGGGTACTACATACCATTCGACATGGTTAAACCATCCAATTCCGAAAAGGGCCGCCTCCTTTCAGCAGGATTCTTCCCATGTCGGTCCATCCTTGGGAGGTCTCAGCTTTGAGTCAGGAGATTTTGTCACTCCTAGAGAAAGGGGCTATAGAAGAAATACCCCACATTCAGATGGAGTCAGGCTTCTACAGCTGTTATTTTGTTGTGCCCAAGAAGGATGAGGGTTTACGTCCGATTTTGGACTTGCGTCGCCTAAATCTTGCGTTCATAGAAAGCAAATTCAAGATGCTGACGTTAAAATCCATTTAGTCTCATATCCGAACCGGAGATCTAATGGATGCGTACTTTCACATTCAGATCGTCAAGAGGCACAGAAAATTCTTCAGGTTCACTTTTTGCGGCTCCAGGGTGTCCAGATTTTGAACTACCTGGACGATTTGCTGATATAAGCTCAATCACAGGATCTGGCGACAGAGCATCGAGACTTGGTGCCCAATCATTTGAGGTGCCAAGGATTGCACGTAAACCTGCAAAAGAGTGTTCTGCAGCCACATAAGCAAACAACTTTTCTGGTCGTGGACTTGAATTCTCGCATGATGCAGGAACATCTGTCTCCCGCACCTGTTCAGTCATTGCGAACCTGTCTGAGTCAGTTCAGAACAGGGAGTCTAGTCCATGTAGGTTTATGCCGCAGACTGATGGGTCTTATGGCAGCAGCATCCTCTGTGGTTCAGTTGGGCCTGCTCCACATGAGGCCATTCCAGTGGTGGATCAAAAGCCAAAACATTTCACCTCACTGCCACCCGTCCCGCAGAGTTATGATAACGCGCAGAGGCTTTCGCGCTCTGCATCCATAGATGAAACTCCATTTCCTTTGCAAGGGAGTCCAGCTAGGGGCATTTTGTCATTGCAAAACAATCACGACAGACGCGTCCCTTATGGGCTGGGGGGCACTCTATCAAGGACGCCCAGTTTGTGGAGTTTGGACAGAGGTGCATCGTGGCTGGCACATAAATCGTTTGGAGATGCTGGCAGTGTTTCTAGCACTCAAACGGTTCTTACCCTATCTGAGGGGTTGTCACGTTTTGGTCAGGAAGGACAACACGACTGTGGTCTCGTACCTGAATTGCCAAGGAGGACTACATTCTTGCCCCCTGTGCAGGTTGGCGAGACGTGTCCTTTTTTGTGCACAGACCAAGTTTCTGTCAGTCAGAGCAGTCCATGGTTATCTGAACTTAGGAGCAGACCTACTCTCAAGGTAGGGCTTGGAAGCCAGAGAATGGAGGTTACACCCTCAGGGGGTGAGCCTCATATGGAAGAGGTTCGGAGCAGAAGTAGACTTGTTTGCTTCGAGCATGACTACGCATTGCCTGCTCTGGTTCTCCCTGTCTCCTCCGTCGCCTCTGGGTGTGGACGCTCTGGCCCAGAAATGGCCCAGGACCAAACTTTATGCCCCCCTGCCGATCCGTTTGCTCTCAGCGGTTCTGTTCAGAGTATGGGCAGACAAAGTGGAACATCTGTTGTTGATGGCCCCATTCTGGCCCACTCAGATGTGGTTCTCGGACTTGGGCAGTCTGCTAGCCGGCCCTCCTTGGGAGGTTTCCCTTAGACACGACCTGCTGACTCAGGCTCAGGATATGTTTTGGCATCCTCGTCTGGATTTATGGAGATCATGGGTGTGGCCCCTGAGCAGAGTGCGTTAATGTGTTCTGGTCTCTCGGCGGAGATTACCGACACTATTCTTAACTCTAGGGCTCCCTCCACGAGGCACCTCTATGCCCTTAAGTGGAAGCTTTTTGCCTCTTGGTGTAGGAAACGCAACCTAGATCCAGGTCATTGCCCTGTATGTTCAGTACTGGAGTTTCTGCAGAGTCGTTTTTCAAAGGGGGTGGCCACTGCCACTCTTAAGTTTTATGTGGCAGCCATATCTGCTGAACATGTGCCCTTGGGAGGTGTTTCTGTTGGACGTCACCCTCTGGTTTCCCGTTTCATGCAGGGGTCGAGATGGTTTAGGCCTTTCCGCCCGGCAAGAATTCCTTCATGGGATCTTGTTGACTGCACAGTCCAGTGGCATGGATCTGACCAATTGTTTGTATGTTTCAATGGTAAAAACAAGGGAGATGCCGTCACCAAACAGAGAATGTCTCATTGGGTATTTGAGGCTATTTCTGTGGCCTATATGAGGCGCGTGGATTGGCTTCGCCTCTGGGTGTGCGGCTCACTCAATGAGAGGAGTGGCTTCTTCTCAGGCTGTTTTTAAGGGCTCTTCGTTGGAAGATATTTATGCTGCGGCAGGATGGTTATCTCCAAGCACCTTTATCAAGTTCTACAGTCTGGATGTGAGGATGGCTCCTGGCTCTTGGGTTTTATCCACTTGAGCAGACACTTTCCTCTTTCCTCCAGCTATCCTCAGGTGTTATGGTATATCGTTCCCATAGCTACCGCTTCACAGCGTAGAAGTGAACCTATGAAAGGGAACATCTCAGTTACGTATACAACCTTGGTTCCCTGAATAGGAAACGAGACGCTGCAATGCTGGCCTTTCCCATAACTTCAATAAGTGCTTCCTTCGTACTTGGAAATCTGATGAAATTGCGCATAGCACGCTGATATGAGCATACGTGAGGCGCTACAGGCCAATAAAATGGCATCATGTTATAAGGGCTTCAGACATTTGTCACACCGAAGGTGTTCCCATAGCGACCGCTTCGCAGCATCTCGTTCCCTATTCAGGGAACCAAGGTTACATATGTAATGTAATCGAGACGTTACAGTCACTTTCTTCGTACACATCTGAGTGAATCTAAATAGCTGTTTGATGTATTTATTTATTTTTGCATGCGCGCATCCCTCTTCTATATTCAGCCCTCTACGAACACCTTGGCAATTGAACCACCATTGGCTAGTACATTTTTTTGTTTACTCGCCAGACTGATAAATATATATATATATATATATATATATATATATGTTTGTTTATAAAATGGCACAGTTTTATAAATATCTGAAAGTACACTCTTAACATCAGTCAGTCAAGCATTATAATATGATAATCAATATTATTTAATGATAGAACTTTAGTAATCAGAATTAAAACTTGATAACCATGTATGAATGCATATTAGTCATTTTAACTGAACTTCGGACTGGTGGTGGTGCTTTTTTGGTCATTCAGGGTTTCTGTAAAAAAAATTAAAAATTGGGGAAAAACTAACAAAAAATACTGATAAGATAACAATGATACGAATTCTACTAATAAGAACAATATAAAACGCACCAAGGATTAATGAGCTACTGGATTCATGAACATTAATCAGGTTGTGTGCGTTCGCTCGAACTGATTTGCTGAAATGGGAAGATTTGCATAACGCCGCCCAAATGTTCACGCAAAGAAAGAAGGCGTAACTTTTATTCTCGCTGTAGTTTTGTTGTTTCTGCCGCCATGTCGTAAAGACGCTGTGTGCTTCGTTGTGAAAGCGAAACTATTTTGTTTGGTCTTCCAAAAGAGGACGATATCTGCTTCGTCATGCCTAAAACCGGATCGGCTTTCACCGTGGACGAAGCGGAGTCCATCACTATGGACCTCTCACATCCAGCACACTCCCTCTTTGAACTGTTGCCATCTGGTCGACGCTACAGAGCTCTGAGCACCAGAACGGCCAGACACAGGAACAGTTTCTTCCCTCAGGCCATCCATCTCATGAACACTTGACAATAACTGTGGAAGACACACTATTTATTCACTCATACACGTATATGAAGAATTCAAATTGTCAATTCAATCTTTTTGTTTGTCAAAGTACCAACTTGCATGTGTGTGTCTTCTGGAAAGATTCAATTTATAAATCTCTGAGCAGTGCTCATTAGAAGGTGACGTCTTGGCAGTGAGCTATTGATAGTCAACATCTGACAGGTTAATTTATTATCAGTTTTATGTCTATAGTCAACAACACAAACACGTTTACATGCCCGGCATGATTCAGTTCCATTTCACACCGCATGCACACATTCACATGTAAACATGTATTCTACAAGACATGATTGCCAGGTTAGATGTACAACAAAAAGGAAGATAAGTGGTACTTGGAAGTCCATATATAGATGTATGGATGGATAGATGGACATATAGAGATGGATGGAAAGAAGGATTAACTTAGTAAGTTACACAAATAGTAAGTTTGTGTGTTTATATTTTTGTCTAAATGTTTTCCTAATATTGGCTATTTTTATCAATCACATTTCCTCAAGCAAGTGGACCGTGTATATGTGTGTCGCCTGTCACATTAAATAGGTTCCCTGATTCGTCTTGGCAGTTGCAGACGCAGGTGCAGAAGAAAGAGAAACACCTGAGGAACTTTCACTAAACCCCTGACTCACACTTCAGTCTCTCTCTCTATCCCCTCTCTCCCTCTCTCTCAGCACAGCTGGATTGAACAGAATGATCACTGGCTTGAGGAGGACCACAATCTGCTAGCTCCGTACACAGCCAAAGAGAGCAGAGAGAGGGAGCGTGAGAGAGCGCACGCTCAACTATCAGGTCACCCAGCTCGTAAAATCTGTGGTGTTCTAACATTGAGAACAGAGAGGAGCAAGAAGACTTTACTTCACAGACACAACAAACACTGCGCTTTCAGAAATGCACGGATTATGGGAACAACATTTTGTGTTTACACCTTACATTTTCCATTTTTCAGGCTTTTTGGTGGCAGTAAAAGTGTAGCAGGAAGACTTCAGGAGTGTTTTCAAAGAGGACAGAATGAAGCAAACCTCTGGACTCAATGGCTGGATGAAGGATGCTATGAAGCAAAGAAGGATACATGACCTCTAACCAAACTTGAGAGGTAACAAACTTTTGTCTTTGAGAGTCTGTCAGCATTAATAAGGGACATTATGAACTTGCATGCCAACATTTCAAAACCTGCACCTGAAAGCATCTTCACCTCTTTGAATCTGATGCCCTTTGACCCTGACACCTGGACACCGAGCCCGGACATCATGCTGGGTAATGTGGTGCGCAACATTTCGTTTGGCTGTAACAAAAGTTGGGCTGATGCATCTCTCTTTCCCAATTTATCCATCAGTGGTACTTCCAGTGAAAAAACAGAACTGCTGTCATGGCAAAGGTGCAACGGTGAGACGAGTACAGAGGAGTTAGTTCGGAAAAACTGGGCTGCGCTACTGATTTTGGTTGTGGTCATTATTACGGTTACCGGGAACATTTTAGTAATCCTGGCTGTCAATCTGGAACGAAAACTGCAAAATGCCACCAATTACTTTCTCATGTCATTGGCAGTGGCAGATATGCTTCTGGGACTTCTGGTCATGCCTGTCTCCATGGTGACCATTGTGTATGGTGAGTCTGCTTCTATATTGACAGCAGTAATTGATTATGTAGGCAGTGATGTTTGAAATATATATATATATATTTACAAAGGCTACGTTCAAATTGATCTCATGGTAATTTTACGTTAAAAATATTAATTTGAAAAGGGGATATTGCATTAGGCTCAGAGAAATGTCCACTTGGAAAACGAGCAAGCTGTGGGAGTTTTGTTTCGGAGAACCTAAAACTATATTTTTGCTCATGTTGTTGACAATTACTTGTGTGTTTTTTACAACAGCTGTTGTAAAACTGTTTGATTCAAATGGATTATTTAGAATGGATTGCATATAAAACAAATAGTAGTCGACTAGTCGGTTACATAATTTCTGTTTAAACGTCTGTGAATTGGTCCTAGCACACATCCCTGGTGATGTCACAACCTTGAGACAGACGTGATTGGACTAGACAACGTATACACTTCAGTGACCCTTTAAATTATGATATACTATATAATATGTTAATAAAAACTGTTTTTTATAATATGTCAAGAAAACAAATTATGCACATTTTTCGAATTATATTTCTTGAGGCATGTAATATCAATAACCAATTATATACCCATTTTATTCTTGAAAAACTGCTTGCGTAAAGTAAGGTATGGTGTATTAACGTACACATTATTTGAAGTGACTTCTGCAGCATACAATATTTGTGGTATTTCATGGTAATTTTCTAACCTGGCACATTTCTGACTGCATTTAAAATTTTAATTCACTGTTTTCACTGTTCTATTTAAATTTCAAGTTTTTAAAATATATGGCCATGTTTAATTATCATTCCACATTGTGTTGTTAATTTAGTTTTAATTCATTATCTGTCGTGTTTCATCAGGGAAATGTTAATTTCTGTGTAATTTGTTATTTGTGTACTTAAAGTGGATGTGTTAATTGATCATTAGTGGCCTTGTATACACTGACGAGGGGATTTTCATGCAAACGGTTTGCTGGATGACATTATGGATCATTTTATTTGTCCCTATATTTTATAATGAGTCCAAACAAATGAAAAATGCATGGTTTAGCACAAAATATTTTATTTGGAGTTTGAAGATCTGTTTACTATTCCAGTAGGAATAAGAAATGTGTTTTTTTGATGGAGCTTGACAGTGAGATGTCATTGTCACGCTGTATTTCAGGCTGTCGTCTGTGTGCCCGAGGCAGCGGCTTTGAAGAACTCAGAGACAGAGAGGTTAAGATCGCACAAGAGTGTGCATGAGAGAAACATGCCACCCTCTTCACCATTTCCATCTCTCTGTGTCTCTCTTCTGTTCATCTGTCCCCTCTGTATTTGCTGTGGGAAGTATTAGTACTATTAGTCAGACTGTGGATGTGAATAAATGTCATGTCACTGTTTCCGGACAGAGTCACATGTTACAGCTAAAACCTTGTTAACATTTCAAGGTGTGTGTGAGTGGAATGACCTCTGCTGCTTACTAAATCCGTCCGTTAAATGGTCAGACAAAAGAACCCATTAAACATGATGTTGAGGGAGAATTTTGAGAGAAAGTCTAATTATTTTCTGCTGCGTACAGGCTGGACTGATGCTATTCAAATCCACTGGATGCTGGAGACACTCAGCACTTCACCTGTACTCGTATGAAGCAATTTGTCTTTGTCTCTTGGCTGGCTATGCTTTTTTTTTTTGGTTTTGTTGTTCAGGAAAAACGACACTATTGTTGCTTGAGCATTTTTTGGTCTTTATTCTTCCTAATTAATTGGCTTGATTAAACTCTTTTGTCCTTGTGTTTGATGGTTGAGTCACATTCTGTCTGTTCCATTCTCTCTTTTTCTCTCTCGCTGTCTCACATGCATGCATGTGCATACACAAACACAGTGTTTCCTGAGAATGTTGCTGTAAAAATGATAGATTCATTCATTCTTTCTAAAGCAGGGCATTTGGACCGTGAGTCTGTGGGTTTATATTTTCTTTAAAGAATATATTGGATGCTAATTATCATGAATGCAGCTCATATTTAGAGGAATAACCTTGTTTAACTGCTTAAACTTTGGCGTGTAACTCATGGTGGTAGAGATGCACCGATATTACAATTATGGCTGATACCAATAAGTCCATAATTATTTTCATATTAAGATTATATGAATATGTTTTGATATTAAATTTATTTCAATTATTCAATTGTAATACTTTCATATGAAAAATATATAATGTTTCATCTAAGTAAATTAAAGGGGTCATGAAATGGAGAATCAAAATGCTCTTGATATTTACACATACAGTATAAGAGTTTAATTGTGATAAAAATCATACTGCAGGTTTCAGAACAACCCAGTTTAAAATTATGAGTTATTCTTTTCTAGCATTCTGAAATGACAGGATTTGAAATCAGGAGGATCGTGACATCACGATTCTCCTTGTCATGCCCCATAACATGCGTCATAGATAGTCATATGTAATAAATATCTGCTAAATGACTAAATAAATAAATAAAATGTAATCAAGGAGGTTTGTTCTGAACAACACATGTCTGTCCAAAGCTTGTGACTCTCAGAACCGTTCTGGAGATGAGGTGGAATGTCCTCATATATTGAGCTGGCAGATGCTGAAAACACAGTGAGCGTCACGTGTGTTTGAGTTTGTGTATCGGACGAAACCGCGCCATTCATTCCGACTAAAATACATTTTGCTAAAATAATTGTTATTGGACAATAAATGTGCCATATGTAGAATTTTAAACCTACAAGTAAGTGTATATTTATGATAGCAGTAAATGTAAGTGACTGTTGTAATGGGGTAATCAAAATATAATGCAATTAGTCTGTGCTTTTGTTTTTATTTTCAATTTTAGTTTTGTGAATTTAACTTCTGCTTTAAAAAGCATTATTTTTGTTTTTAGATTCTAATTTTACAATGTTAGACTGTACGGTGCAATGAAGCTAGCCAATCATAACAGAGGGCGTTTACTTCAGTTTCTGCAGGTAACGGCCCTTGAAATTGAGTGAGTTTCACAGACAGTGAAAATTGACATTTTTACAAATATTGGTCCATTTTTGGTGTTAAAAAACTTTGTAAACTAATCTTGAGAAAACTGCGTTTCATGCTCCAACATTATAATGTACAATATTAAAAATTCATGTTTTTTTTTTTCAGATTTGCCAAAGATTACATACATTTTTTTAGTGTTTTTAAAGGTTAACTTAAAGGGAGTATCATATCATGGCCAACTTAATCTGAATGTACAATTGGAGGAATGCACTGCACATTTAAACGCCACTTGAATTTTCTTCAGAAAATGTAAAAATTGTCTTGTTTGGAATAAGCTGATTGATCAGATGATAATTAGTGTGTCTTTGAATTGATAATGGGTTGATTCAGCAGCCAGCTGCTCTGTACTGTACCAGCAGTGGCCACATGCAGTCACAGAGGAAAGAAGCTAATCACTATAATACTGTGGGCTGCTCCTCCAGTTCAAGACTGCAGAACAGTGTATTGCAACACAGATATTCTGATAAAGAACATTGTATGTAAACAAACTTAGTGTACACACATTCAGAGAGACTTGAAAAAGGGTAATTCCTGATGGACGGATGTCTTTCATTTGAGACGTGGCCTAGTGAATAATGCCCATATTCTGACACTGTTGCACAGTTGGGGGCAATGAGTTTGTGTCATTTTATATCTATTATCTATCCACCCACTTCAGTTTTCTGTCAATTTTTTATTGTACTAAAAAAAAGCCATAAACATAATTGAAAAAGGGTTATAACAGTAAGGTGGAAATTCACCAAGAACGAATTGCAACTGCTGATAGTGCTGTTAATTTAAGCAAATGTGGAAATCCAGCATAAATGCACCCACAAAATTAGCTCTGAACGCAATTTGCACACCATGTTTTCTCATCTTGAGGACTGTAAAGTATCTCTCCACCACTGCAATCCAGCCACCTGAATTGGCTCTTTAAAATGCAACAGGTCTACATGTATGATTGCCTATCATCATTTGATCATCATTTTATGATGTTTAATAGAAAATGTAAACGCCTTCACATTATCATTTGAGGGAATGTCTTCGTAGAAACATTTCTGAGAACCAGTGATGAGGATCAGCGAAACACCACTGAAACTTCCACTGAATCACTTGTAAACACAGACGGATTCCAGTCGTCTTAGAGGAGAGCAGAGAGGCTGAAGTGCTTTCAGAAGAGTGGAGATGACAGAGAGATCGAGAAACAGACACATCGGACAGAGATCTTTAAAAAGTCCACGAGAGAGGGATCACATCTGAAGCAGCAGGGGTGATAAAATCAGAGAGGAACTCCCACTGAGTTTCAGCAATGACGTACTAGAGCTGTGATGAAGCCCACACTGAGTAATCGTTTTATAGAGGCGTTTTATAAATAGCAGCGCATGTTTCTAACCCATTATCCAAACAGGTAAGAATAGCCGTGTGTGTGTTCATTATCTCATAGGAGGTAAGGGAGCCAAAAAAAATACAAATACAAATTTTGATCAATTTTCCTATTAGAAGTTGACTATTCATATCCAACCAAAAGTTAGTAATAATTATATTATATTATGTTATATTATATTATTGTAGTTTTTATTTTTTGAAGCAATTGAATAGTTAAAACTGCATAAACTTGATGTGACTTGATTCTAATGAATGTGAATGAAGGCACTAGTTTTTAATTAATAGCTACATTTATTACATAATATAATTCATAAGTCTGACTGTAGGCTGTTTACAGTTACCAAGCAATTTATGTTAATATAGAATATCCTGTATTAATGTGCCTTAGCTGTGTCAGATTTTCAGTATAGTCTTTCTTGTATGCTTGTATATTTTTGCTCTTCATTGTTCCTCTTTTGTTTGTGTTTGTTTTCCATAGATCCGGATGGAGTGACAGTTAGGGAAGCCAAAATAAATGGGATCAGAATACACGCAGACACTAATTTCCCCCTGATTCTCTAAAACCTCTCAATCTCCCAAACGGCTCCACAGCAGAGCTCTGG